TACTGCTCTTAATTACAGATAACCTCCGGGCGCATAGTGAACAGTCAGGCACATCTTTTATGACAGCTCCTTGATGGAGGGCCAGAGTAGGGACTATTTTCAGTCATGTATTAAGAATCATTTTTAATCTCATACCTGTGAGGGCCTTCCCCCCCACCGGAGTTAGCTTTTTAGGCCCCATAATTGTGAGCATGGAGGATTTGGCCATTTACATTCTCATCCAGGCACTCAAGTTTCCCACAGGCAGCCTTTCTGCTTCTGATTAGTAAGGGGAATGCCTTTATTTCCTTTCCATTGAAAGTAATGTGGATCACTGCTTTGTACATATGCCCTTTATTCTGTTGAGGACTGTCCCTTCTCTTCCTATGTTGTTGAGTGCTTTTCTCAAGAATTGGTGTTGGATATTGTGAAATTCCTTTTTGTATCAATTGGTGTAATCATGTGGTTCTTTTATTTATATATATTACTCACCTCTGTATTCAGTAGCATTTGGAGAAATGAAAGGAGCTAGGTTAGGAGGTCTTTGGTGGCCTTTGATCATGATTATGTGTTGGGCTGCTAACCACAAGATCAGTAGTTCAAAACCACTAGCTGCTTCTTGGGAGAAAGACACAGTTTTTATTCCCACACACTCCTATACACAAAATCTCAAAGGCTCAGCAAGATTACTGGAATGTGGGTTAGGGGAGACATTGGTCAGTGTAAAACATGGAAAAATAATGATTTATAAATTATCAGTGGGGAGGGAGGGGAAAAAATGAGGAGCTGATACCAGGGGCTCAAGGCGAAAGCAAATGTGTTGAGAATGATGATGGCAACAAATGTATAAACGTGCTTGATAAAATGGATGTATGTATGATGTATGTATGTATTTTTTAAAAATCCAAACAAAATGCATATGAGCCCCCAATAAGATGATTTAAAAAAAAAAAAAAAAGATTCAGCAAATTACGAGTTACAGACTCAAAAAACCCACAGGAGCAGTTCTACCCTGTCCTATAGGGTTGCTATGAGTCGGGATCGACTCGATGGCAGTGGCTTTAGTTGGAGTCTATTTCTGAAGGATCCAGTAGAGGCTGGGAGTTTGCTCATGAAAGATCTGGCAGACTAGTTCTGAAGGTTCTTTGGGGGCAGAATTCACTTGGGAATTTTGCTGGTAGTGAGTCACAGGTGTCACTTCCCAAACAATTGTGGCCCTTTTCCAAGTGGTGGTGAGACCTGTGAGGCCTGCTGGACTGTGGGCTCAGATGTGCTCACAGCTGCAAGAGTGGGCTTAAAAGTGGAGGGTCCCTCAAAGGGACAACTCGGGAGAATTTTCTCTGGGCTCCGCCATGTGTCTGGAACCAGTGGCATTTTCGTGAGCATCTACCCATTCCAGCGCACTCAGTTGCCACGTGGGCTCATATCTGCCATCTGTGGGTTTCCAGCAGGAGGCTCATGCAGAAGTGAATCACTCTCCAGGCCATGAACTCCCAGACGGTACCCCTGGCTGGGTTGCTCAGATGGGACTCCTGGGGTCTTTTAAGGAGACATCGCTCCTGTGGTGGCTGCTTAGCTGGCCAGTGTTAATGCACCCCTGGCTAGGTAGATGTGGTACAGCTGGGCATCATTTTTAAAGGGCCCCTTCAGCAGGTCTTTTAAGAATAATTAGATCTTGGCTCAAGTGAGGGACCATGGATTTCCTGGGGGTTGGAATTGCCAGCACCCCCTTCAGTGCCTCCCACTTTACCATCTTCACATTGTTACTAAGGGTACTTGTGGCCATCCTGGAAAGCAATCCCTCAGGTCCTGGTTGTACTGTGGGTCTTTTAATCTATGGGCTTGGGTCAGGACATAGGGATAATCAAGGAGTCCTTGGTCCTGGCAGACTGAAAATGGGCCCTTAACATAGCCATCTGACCAACAATTACCCTGGTGACATTCGTGCACAGCTGCTGAAAGAACATCTGGGAATGGGCTACCGTTTTAGAAGTTGGAAGGTCCGCTCTAGGGGACCTAGAAGTCCAGGGAGATGGTATACAAGGAGGTACGAGGTCAGTGCTGCTTTCGCCCAGAGTTCTGTTGTGGAATTCGTAAGGGGCTTAGGGTCGATGTGGCGTAATGGTTAAGAGTCTCAGATTTGAGACAGTAGCAACAGCAGCAACAGCCTTTGTGGATTTGGAGACTGATGTCAGGGGCAACGTTGAGGGATATCACTGAATGGGTGGCTAAATTTTCTGAGCAGCACACTTGGACTTGACAAAGTCGTCACTGAGCAAGTGTTAAAAGACCGGACTCGGGAGAAGTGAGTGAAATGGAACCAGCATCTATTATAGTGGACCGTGTTGAAAAGCCCTGTAGGTTCATTCTGATTTTCAGCTGCCATTCACGTTATGCTTGTATTAGGAGTAAGACTTAACATTTTCTAACACAGACTAACTTAAAGGTAGAGTTACAGTAGGATCCCATAACTTTAGGACTGTTTGTGGGGAAAGTAGTAAGTATACAGGCTGTCATCTGAGCATGGACTCACAATGAGTTTTTAGAAAAGGGGTGTTTATGTTGGAGAAGGGATAACACAGATGAATAATATGACAGATTAAAACGAATATATTTGAGTGAACCTAGGAAAAGAGGCTTCTTTCTCACCTGTACAGAGAATTAGTACGGGACCATTCTCAAAACACAACTTGTATTATACAGCAAGCCTTCAATGGCACCGAGTAAGCATTGGATAGCTAACGAAAAGGTCAGTGGTTCAGACCCGCCAAACTCTCTGCACGGGAAAGATAAGGCTCTCTGGTCCCGTAGAGATGTACAACCTCAGAAACCCTATCTAGGGTCACTGTGATTCAGAATCAACCCAATGGCAGTGGATTTGTTGGCTTTTAGTTTGGGGTCCTGTGTTGTACACGTATCTGACTTGGCTCAGTTTCAACAAGAGAAGTCAGTAAGCCAACAGGAAGAGGACAGGATGCCCGTTGATTCCCTTCTGCACACCACCTCTTTGCACCGCCATAAGCCTTGATTTTTCTTACCCTAACAGGGTACATTAGAGGAACCTTGTGAAAAAGAACACAAGGACACTTACAGGGTTTCCTAGTCTGTGACAAGCCTACGCAGGATTATTCAGATGGCAAACAAGTAAGGTGGTGGTAGCTTTATAAGACCTCCTTGTGGATCTACATGTGACCTCCTCCCTGGGGGACAGACAACAGAAAAGTGGTGAGGGGAGATGTCGGACAGTGTAAGATGTGACCAAATAATTTATAAATTATCGGGTTCATGGGGGGTTCATGGGAGGGGGAAAAATGAGGGGCTTGGATGGAGAGCAAATGTTTTGAGAATGATGAGGGCAATGAATGTACAGATGTGCTTGACACAATGGATGTATGTATGGATTATGATTAGAGTTGTATGAACCCCCAATAAAATGATTAAAAAAAACAAACCTCCTTGAGAAAGAAATTTAAGATTTAATTGAAAGAACTCATTAAATTACCCAAAAGGTTAGAAACATAAGAAAGGTGATTAAGGCATTGTTGAGATTTTCTTCTGAGATGATGAAAGAATCCATTTACATTCTTGTTTTCTCAATTTTGAGCCCTTGAAGTAAACACTTCTAGAGATAGAATTGTTACATCATTTGCCTAAGGATAATGCTTCTCTTTAAGTAATTGTTTTAGGTTTAAATAAATACATTTTTTGTTTTTTTTTAAGTTGGGATTTAATACATAATATTCCAAATAAATATAGTTTTTATCTGTTAGAAATTATGCAGGAGCATCTGAGCCAGTCAGATTTATCTTTTTGGTATGAGTATATTCTTTGATTAAAGTAACAGGCTTTAAACTATGAACTTTCTCTTTCTGAAGTGTATTTTCATTATAGTGCCATGATATTATAATACCATCATTTTCTTTATATAACGGAATATTTGTCATGAGGTTGTTGCGTTTCAGTTTGAGTAGACTGTTTTGACCTTTTTGTTAGAGTATACTAACCACTCATAAAAGAAAGTCGTCACAAGCATTTATGTGACTGTTTCTACTCTAGTCTTTTATTTTCATAGGATTAAAGAAATCATTGTAGGCAGTTTGGGGGTTGTTTTTCTTATTAAAACACCACAGATTGTTATAGGACGGTAGCAGTAAAAGTGGAAGGAAGAAGAGTACACTAGAGACGTTATGATCCAGCAGGGAGAGAGTCTTGTTTGCTCCCACCTCCTTGCTCTTCGTCCAGAGACAGGATCTGTGCTAATCCAAAGCCAAAGGTAAAACCACATTCATCTGGTTTGAATCATCAGTACCTGTTTTTCAATGTCTACATGAGACTCTACGAGGAAGCTTTAAAATTTTTCTATCTTTTAATTGTTTGGGAGAAGTTTTCTACTAATTTTTCATTAATTTCCTATCCTTATATAGTTACTTAGCTTATTCTGTTCAGTATTTCACAAATATGATTATGCGAGTCAGGAAATAACTACTTATGATGGATTGTTACAACATTTGTAAGCTCACCCCAATAAAATGATTTAAAATAATCATTAAAAAAAGAACAGAAAATACCTACTTATTCCTGTATATTAGCTTGTTTTGAAGTTATTGCTCCCTTTAGAGATAAACAGAGCGCATAGGTGGTAGAATTCTTGCCTCTCTTCCACTGGCTGAACTTCTGATCCTGCAGTGTACCGCATGCACAGCCACCACCCTCTGTCGGTGAAGGCTGCATGCTGCTATGATACTTGCTTTCAGGGAGCCGCTAGACAGACTAGGGACAAAGACTGCACAGTCTACTTTCAAAAGCCCTAGGAACCCCAACAGTCTGATCCCCATCCAATCCCGGTTAAGTTGCACTGTGCATGAGCTCGCCATAAGTCTGGGGTCAGCTCTACAGCCCCTAACAACACAAGGGGCACACACTACCACACTAAAGCCTATCTGAATTACTTCGGCAAAAATTGAAACAATACAATTGTTAGCAAAAGAGATAAGAACCCGGTGTGGACGGTTCTTCTTTAGGAAGCTGTGCCCCTGGCGCTCCCGCTCAGTGCTGTGAAACAGGAACAACAGCGAAAGTGGATTGAAGAGTTGAATAAGCAAATAGAAGAGGACCGGCAAAGAAAAACAGAGGAAAAAATGATCTATTCAAAGGTAACTTAGGAGATTTTATGACATGTAAAGCAATTTTTTCCCATTAAAAATAATTTTTACACAGTACAAACCCTCAGTCTTCTGAAAGTACATGACCAGAGTATTTTGCATTTACTCAGGTGGCTGCTTTCATTGGATAGATTTAACAAGTGTGATTGTACGTGGCTTCTTGAGGTTCCCTTTTTTGTTATTTCTCATGTTCTCCAATGATGTGAACTGTGTAACTGCACATGGAATGAGTCTGCTCCTCTGTGGGGTCGGTGGGGCGTTCAGACCGTTAGGAGACTTGGCTGCTCACTGAAAGCGTAGAGGTTGGAGTCCATGCAGGGGCACCTCGAGAGGAAGAACCAGCAGCTCTACTTTCCACGGAGTTCTCCTTTGACACGCATGGGGTTGCCGTGAGTCAGAATGGACTTACAGCACCCGAATGGAACTAATATTCTGCTGTATGATGACTTAGAAACCTCACTTTGATAGCCTGTTATGCTTTCGTATATGAAAGAACAATTATAAAAAGTCTTAGCAATTCCTACTTTACATTATTAGGGTGAAGAGCATGATAGATGGGCAATGCATTTTGATTCCTTAAAGAGCTACCCTTGCTCTCAGTCTCAGCTGTCCTCTCAGTCAGCCCACAAGCAGCCAGAGTACTTCTGCGTCTCTCCTGATGCCCAGGAGCTAGCTGACATCAGCAGTGTTCACACCCCCACAAACGGAAGCCAGGTGGCAACTTCAGAGGAAGAGCATGTAGCAAAACCAGCTTGGGATGTGGCCATGACAAACAGTCAGAAAACAAAGTAAGTACACTCGGCAGTATTGGTTGAAGGTGATTTCATAGGGCTGTTATTGTTATGTCTTAACTAGTTTCCATGCTTCATATTTTTCTGTAAATTTCCGGCAACTAAAAAAGAAAAAGAAGGCCAAGCCAAACAAAACCAAAACCTTTTTGGGATTTGAAATCTCGAACATGTGTATCTTTGCAGCTTTCTGCGCTCTATGACTGCTCTCTTGGACCCAGCTCAGATGGAGGAACGAGAGAGACGGCGACAAAAACAATTAGAACATCAGGTATTGCCTTGTAAAGCAGATAATAAGTACTATCCTTAGCAAACAGGTTACTAAGTAAGTGGAAATTAAATTTTGTGATATAAACATATAGTATAAGCCTTACTCTTTCAATGAAACTAATCCCTGCTTCAACTGGAATGATAAGAATTGGTAACTGTGTTTAGAACCAGCAGTATTATAAAAGACAGCCATTTGCTTGTGTATATGAATTTGCACTGGACCTTAAGTTATTGGATGTTTTTTCATTTTTTCTGTTAGGGTGACACTTAGTTCTTTGAAAGTGAAATAGGATACCAAAGTAGAATTATGATTAAGAAATCTAGCAAATATATAAGAAAGGAGGCTAAAATTAAAATGCGCTCTTCTAATTTGTAGTCTGATATTTACGGACTTAATGTCTGAGTAATTTTTTGAAAGTTTTGTTAAAGTGGCTGAGTTACAATGCTGATTCTAAGTGAGCAGGCACCTAGGGGAATACCTGCCACCTGCCAGGCCCTCCCTCTGCTAAGAGCACTGATGGTTTCGTTAGTTGTTCTGTGTCCCCAGAGTTCTCTAGGGTGAAAGAAAAGGCATTTTAGAACTAGGTTAGGCAACGATAATCTGAGAGAAACCCATGGGCATTTGGCATGTTAACTTACTGACAGATGTGCTACTTCCTGTGTGCTAATAAACTTATTCTCGAGTCACCAACGAAATGTGTCCTGAACTTTTATTGCGGTTGGTTTCTGTCATTTCTGACTAGAAGGCCATCACTGCTCAGGTAGAAGAGAGGCGCAGGAAGAAGCAGCTAGAAGAAGAGCAAAGAAAGAAAGAAGAACAAGAAGCGGAGCGTCGCTTAGCTCGGGAACGAGAGGAGATACAGAAGCAATATGAAGAAGATACCCTTAAGCAAAAACAGAAGGAAGTAGGTTTCTACATTCTGGCTGTAACACTGTAGGGTGAAAATGGGAGTAGTGCATTGTCACTGCTGGTGGTTTTTCTTAATGAAAAATAACTAGAAGCAGAACATGTGCATGTGCTTCAACAACATAAAGCTATTAGTGGAAATATGAAAGCTTTCTTTGCCTAAAGATAAATATGCAAGTCACACACTTGAGAAAGTTCACAGATGCTATATGATCTGTACTTTCACTTTCTGCTAAAAGGTCAAAGTGAATTAATTATCACCTTACAGAACAACAACAAAAATCCATGTTCTTGATTTTGAAATTTTTTTTCAGTCATAATTATTACATTAGCAATTCTTGCGGCTGTGTTAGAGTAAAAGTAGGCCTTTCTGTCCATATCTGTTGATGTAAAGAAACATGTATTTTCAGAGTAATTGGCTATGGTTGATGATATGGAAGAGCTTTTCTCTGCTAAAGAAGCGCGTTTATAAGAGTAGAAGCTTGAGTAAGTGGTGCAGACAAGTGTCATGTGGAAGCTTACCTGCCAAAGAACAAGTTGCACAAGGGCATTTGATTGCCAAAGTAGAGCACAAGGCCTTTTCCCTGAAGCGGGGGTGGGATGGGGTGGAAGGGGGAAGGATGAGGAGGAGATGCTGCACTTTCTAACTTTTTCACATTTGCAAGCTGTATTCCAAAAATGATTGATAAAGGGACACTTGGTCTGAGTTTTGGTTTCATTGTGTTAAATAGACTGAGGTAGCTACGCATCTAAAATCATTTTATAAGAAAATCAATGAAGTATTACTTGAATTGCAAGCTATGACCATAGGACTATTTTTAGTCTTAAGAGTGATGGAATTGACCAACAATTTTTGAAACTTAGAACATTTAATTAGTATAAACTTGAAGGGAATAAAAAGAATTCTTAAATTTATGATCTAATAGTACTATAGAAAAAGATGCTGGAGTATAAGGTCCAAACAGGCAAGCACTTGGCCTTGCTTGCTTATTGTAACCGACAGTATTTAAAATAGTGCCCGGCACATGGTAGGAGCTAAGGAAATATTTATTAGGAAGAAAATAGACTTGGTATGTGTTTTGATATTTGTGTGTGATGGCTATTGATTCACTTCTCTTGATAGGAAATCATGACTCTCAAGACAAATGAACTATTCCAGACCATGCAGCGAGCACAAGAACTGGCACAGAGACGGAAACAGGAACAGAGAATTCGAGAATTGGCTCAAAAAGGACATGACACTTCCAGATTACTGAAAAATCTTGGTGGTAAGCGCTGAATTAGAATTTTCTGTAATGCTGTATTTTGAAAATAATGTGAACTAATTATTACTGCTTTTAAAGGTTAAAGGTAAAATAAATACTTAACTAAATTTTTTTTCAAAGAAATTTCAGACCTTGAACTAATGTAACTTGCAAAATATAAGCTGTGCTTTTGGTGAGAGTTTACCCAGCAAATTTGTTGTGTAGACCTAATTTGGTTCCCATTTAACAATTCACAAATTGTTCACTGATGGTCGTTACATTTTCCACAATGTGTCAACAGTCTCAATTTAATTTGAAATGTTTTGTTTCCAGCCATCTGGCTTCCTTATCCGTTTACCCTTTCACCTTTATTTAGCGTATTTGCTACCCATTTCATCTCATGGAGATAGATGTTTGGTCTCAAAGAGATGGGCTTCTCAGTGAAGGGCACGGTGCTCATTGGCACTATTCTTTGTATTGTGCTGCTGTTGGGGGTGGCCTGCCCTAAATCTGTTTATGAGGTTAGGTTGGTTGATAATGTTGTTTATAGTTGTTGTTGTTGTTTGGTTGGTTGCTCTCTAGTTCTAGCCTTCATTGAAAGTGGTCTGTGAAAGTCTTATTATGGTAGAGTTGCTTATCTCTCTCTAAATCTGGAACAGTTTGGTCGTTATGTTTTGTGGCTGCTTCACTGGATGCGTAGAAATTTATTATGGTTAAGTTCTTCTTTATAAAGATCATTTTATTGGGCGTTCTTACAGCTCTTATAACAATCCATACATCAATTGTATCAAGCATATTTGTACATATGTTGCCATTATTATTTTCTAAGTATTTACTTTGTTGATCCCTTGTTATCAGCTCTCCCTGTGACCTCTTGATAAATGATAAATGATTATTGTTTTCATATCTCACACCGGCCACCCCCCCACCCCCCACCATTGATTCTGTTATTCGTCCCACCGGGTGGTGGTGGTTATATGTTCATTGTTGCTATTGTTTCACCCTTCCTCTCCTCCTATCCCCACCTTCCCCCTACCCTCCTTGTATTGCTACTCCCAGTCCTGTTCTTGGATGCTGTGTGTCCTGAGCTCTTATCTCTTGTCTGCACATGCTCCAGTCTAGCCCGCAGTGAAAGGCAGGATGGAGATCATGGTAGTGGGGAATGAAGAAGGCTCAAGAAACCACAGGAATATTGTGTGTTTTATTGGTGCTATACTGTATACCCTGTTTGACTCATCCCTTCCTTGTGACCGACCCTTCTGTGAGGGGATGACCCATTGTCTGCAGATGGGTTTTGGGTCCTTGCTCCGACCCCCCTTGTTCTCATCAATATGGGTTACCCAATGCTATGGACACCTCGTGATCACTCAGGCTGGTGTGCTTCTTTCATGTGGGCTTGTTGCTTCTCTGCTAATGGCCACTTATTTAACTTCAAGCCTTTAAGGCCCCAGACACTAATACCTTTTGATATTTGAGCATCATCTGCTTTTTTCACATTTGCTTAAGTACCCATTTTGTCTTCAGTGATTGTGCTTGGGAGGGTGAGCATCACAGAATGCCAAGTTGTTAGAACAAAGTGTTCTTGCCTTTAGGGAGGGTGTAAGCAGAGACCTAAAGTCCATCCACTATCTCCTCAGTGTATTGTCATAACAATGTATGGACATAGGCCAATACCTCTATTTTTATGAATTAATGTATTTACATATGTACACACATATACTAACTTTATCCACAGCTTTACTTCCTAGATCTTTCCTGTTTCCTTTTACCTTCCTCTGCCTCTCCTTCACGCTCGCCCTTCTTCTGCCTCTTAGTACTTCGTCTCAGCTAGATTGCTGTTGCTCCAACAACCCCAGAATCTCTACGTCCTCCTGGTTGTTGATTTCAATTCCCTAGTTGTTCCGGTCAATGTCATTGTTTGCTCACCGCTCTCTTCCCCCACCTCCTTCTCCCCCCAAGTCCCTGTTGCTTCCTCCTCTAGCTTGCTTCCCATGCCTATCTTATATATGTAGGCAAAACCAACAATAACAGAGACCAATCAAAAAGAAAACAAAAGATTGAATAAAATGAGGAAGGAAAAAAGATAATAACTAACCAAAAAAAGGTTAAGTTCTTTTTTTCAGTAGACCCTTTACGCATTATATAGTGTCATTCTTTAACTCTTATGCTGGACTTTGCCTTACCTATTATATCAGAAATTACTGTTGCCACTCCTGCTTTTTTCTGATTGCCATTAGCTTGATTTTCCCCCCACCCTTTGATTTTTAGTCTATATGTTTTTATGTCTACAGCGTGTGTGTAGACACCAGATTGATGTGTCTAATTTATCCATTTTGCTGTTCTTTGCCTCTTCAGTGGTACCATTAATCCATTTGCATTCAGTGTAATTACTGATAGATATGAATTTATTGTTGCTAGTTTGTTGTTTCTCTGTGGTGCTGGTTCTCTTTGTTCTTTGTAATTTTCCGTGCTTGGTTCATTTTGTTCGGGTTTTCTTGTCCTTTTCCTCAGTGCTGGTTTTTTTTTGGTGTTTACTAAGTCTTTATTTTCTTCTGTGTATTTTGATGGAGTTTATTAATTTTCTTTGAAGTTAACCTGTAGCTTATTAATTTCTTCCAAAGTTTAAGTCTGTTTCCTGAAATCTACTTGACATCCACTCCATTTGAAAGTTCTGTCACTACACACTGTTCCCTACATTTACTTTGCTCTCTGGCTCCCCAGTTCTCACTCTTGTAGGTTTGTTTGCGTTGGAGATTGACTTCCAAGTGTTACTACCATGTATATTCTTTGTTTATTTGATATAGCATGTATATTCTTTGATTGTTACCTACTGTTGTTGGTTCTCTGTCCAAAGAACTCCTCTTAGTTTTTCTTGAAAAGCTGATCGTTTTTAAAAAAATTACTTTGCTTTCTGTTTCTCTGGAAATGTCCTAATTTTCTTATAGTATTTGAGGCACAATTTTGCTGTGTATATGACTTTTGGCTGGCAATTTTTTTTTCTTTCAGGGTTTTTAATTTTTTTCCCTCAAAAGAAACTACTTAGAATTAGTAGTTTGAGTGACAGCTATTTTTAAGCAGTGTGAACCATAAAACGTTTTTTTCTTTACTTTCCCAGAAATCTTGGGTACACAGCACAAAGCAAAAAGGTCATTTCCCCCCCCAATTTAAAACACCGGCATTGGCATCACAATAGCAGATATACAACTTTAAGCTGTCATTTTAGTAAAATGCATAAATACTAAAGAGATTAGCGGTCTTCCATCGAGAGGCCCATGTAAACTCCACATAAACCACAACTTCTCTTCAAACAGGTTCATTAGCGCTTTGAATTCCATAACTTCATCTGTTGTTGACCAGTTTTGCTTGCAGGGTAGGGTGGCAGGGGGAGGTTATTTAGTACAAATGCTCACAATATTAAAAAATATATATATATAAGTATATATTTCTCCCTATGCCATTATAGAGAAACATACCATTAACAAGACCTTCCTCCACAGTCCACCTTTACTTTAAAGAGCGCCAGTAATACTGGCACAGACCTGAAATGAATTTAGTATATGAGGAGACCCATAACAAATAGAACAGGGTAGGGTGGGTTTTCTGTTGTTTTTTTCAATGACTACGATTAATGAGGATTATAGGACTGAAAACATCTTTTACACTTAACTGAGTAAAATATGTCCAAAAATACATATATCCAGAAGAGGAATGAGTTTATAATACTTAATTGGTTGTTGTTGTTGTTGTTGTTCTTAAAATAATGTTATTGGGGCTCATACAACTCTTATCACAATCCATACATACATCCATTATGTCAAGCACATTTGTACATTTGTTGCCATCATCATTCTCAAAATTAATTGGTTTTATCAATGTATTAAGTATAATTTATAAAAGTATGAAAAGGTGGATTTCAGTCCAGCTTTTATCTCCTCTATTTTAATTCTATAATTTACATGGAGCAATAAAGGTGATTCCATCCTTGTATAAAGGTGGAAGATAAAAAGCCATTTGGGATTCCACCTTCAATGGTGTCACCAAAGGAAGTATCTGTTACTTTTCTTTTAAGAAAACACAAATAATTGTGAGATAGCTAAAGAACATTTCAGGACTCTGACTTTTCAACTCCACTTAAATCATACACATAAAAATTTTCATTAAACTTTAGCATTTCACTGTGGTTACCTGGAATTTTCTCCCTTTAAGGATATTACTATAACCAGAATGCTAGCAGGGTAAATGCCACTTGTCTGCTTGCTCTTATATCCATCTACCTCTTCTCTCAAAACCAAACACTGTGCTCAAGACAGGAAAAAAATGTCCACAAGTGTTGCCTAAAAATTAATTTTTCACATAAAAGGTCAGTCATGCAGGCCTTGTCTCATGAGGATCCTCTACTTCTGCGGGTGAATGGCTCCTGTATGGATGGACCCAGCTACAGTGGAAGCTGTCCTTGCTGAGTGCTTTTGCTGCCCTCAGAAAGTGGGTGTTAAAGTCTCAATTCACACCCACACACAGAGAACGTGGTCCGTGACAATCTCATAAAGAAGTCTTAAAATAAATCTAACCAATGTGTAATTCTGACACAAACAACCAAACACCTTATTTCGAACTGTACCTCCCACAGTCGTAAATGAGTCAAGAAGGCCAGAATGTATTACTTTTCAAAATATAACAACCAAAGGATGAACATTTTAAGATTTAATTCTTAAAAGGAAAATCTGCTTGGTTGAGAGTCAATCCTAAATTAAGAATTTTAATTTTGTTGGAAAAGTCTATAGGAATCTTAGTTACAATGAAAACAAATCAAAATTGACTAGGAGCTGAAAAATTCCTTATTTTTTCCTAAATCTTGAAGTCATCTAAAAGCCTTAGTTAACCTGTCATTTTTTACCTTTAATACTCAATAAACCATTCAGTGATATATTGAAATTTTCTTTCCATTCATTTGACCTGAGCTCCAGAAAAACCATCAACACTAAACCAGTATTAAGGGGAAAAAAAGAAAAATTTGATTGATAGAGACTATCAAGTGTTAAAATGATGAGATTCTGGATGAAAAACATTGGGGTGAGACAGTGTTTGGAATTTTACTTTCAGTCCAATTCTTTCAGGGTTTTATATATGTCATCCCATTGCCTGCTTGCTATCATGGTTCTGAGAAACCTTAGTCTTACTGGTTTCCTAGGTGACATCATTTTCCCCGAGCAGCACATACGATTCATCCCTCCTGACTGGTTTTGGAAAATTGGTCATGATGGATTGTGGTGCTGCTTTGCTTTTGGGGTCTATCTAATATGGAGTTCATTCAGCTTCTTGAGTACCCCTTTACCTTAATGTTAGAGAAGTTTCTTCCAACAACCGTGACAGTTTCCTCCATGCTTTTTGTTGTTTCTTTTTGTCCTGGCTTTCCAGTCACTCGTGCGTTAAATCTTGGAGCGTACTACTTTTGTCTTTCATTGATTGAATTTCATGCATTACTTCTGAACTTTTCTCGGTCTTCTGGATTTCTGTGGCTGTTTGTATGGTTTCTGACTTATCACTGTGTTCTTGTCCTGCTTTTCTGAATTCCTCTAACGACTTTTCTCTTTGACTTCATTGGTACCTTTGTTGATCTTTCTTACACTTTGTTAAGAGTACAAATCCCATCAGTTTGAATTCCTTGCCAGGTATTTCCAATGATTTTCTTTTTGAGAAAAACCCTCTGGCTCTGTACATGGGTCACTTGTTTGGGCCACTCTTGTTTTGTCTTTCCATGTAAACTGCAATTTCGTGTTGTTTTCAAAATATTGTGGTGGTGTGTTTGTATTTAATAAATATATGTTGGTGAATGTAATAGAGAATATGTGTTTGCAGTTCTTTGCTATATAGTCGAGCTCAGGGCCAGTTTAGTGGCTGTCTTGAGCTGTCAGTGATCAGGTGGTATGGGAGTGGTTGTCATGGGCCCGCACCCAGTAGGGTTTCTGAGGGGGTACAGGTGTAGCTGGGCCGTGTGGTACAGTTGCTGTCTCTAATCAGGCGGTACGGGGTGGGGAAGGGGAGCGAGAACAAGAACAAACAGCCAAAAAATTAAAAGGAAAAACAAACAGAAAGGAGGAAACTGAGGGGGTGGGGGTGTTACCCAATATGTGTTGGTACCCTCTAACAGCTAAGAATCTGACCGCATGGAGTGGCAAGAGATCGATGGTACCTTGGTCCTATATGTACTGGCCTATATGTTGTCTGGGTACAGGGTCCCTGATCTCAAAGTACTGAGTGATGGCTTAGATGGTCTCGGCCACCATCTAAGCTATTTTCTGGAAAGAATTCTTATGGCCCCAGAAAGCAGCTAGGGGCAGGGCAGCTGGTCACAGAAAGAGTTCCTGCCTCTGGCCAGGGACCCAACACTGCATGTTGTGCTGGTCTCACGAAGGGGAGTTTACCCACCTCTGGACTCAAGGGGAAGCACTCAGCGCCTGATGTGCAAGAGTTCACCCCTGACCTGCATGTGATGGTGGGTCCATTAGCTTGGTAGGGTAGGTGCTGGCCATGCTTTGATTTTTGGGAGAATGTGGGGAACAAAGGAGGATCTCTCCGTTATCATTTGCCACTGGTGTGGCAGGCCACTGTATGGATGGATTGCTGCTTGTAAAAGTTCACCCTTTCTCTCTTCTCCGATGGCGTCTTCTAGCCAGTAGTCAATCCACTTCACTATCCTTTCCTCTGAAGCTCAAAGTTTCATCATTATCACTGGTATCAGTTTCATGAGGTCTCGTGTACCTTTGATGTAGAGGGTAGCTACACATCTTGCCTAAATCCCTCGTGTGCCTGTTTTGTGGCATTTACCTTGTCAAAGTGTGTGTACCTCATCCATCTTTAGTGTTACTGTTGCGGTTTCTGAGCAGGGAAAATGAACATAGAACATAATGGACACACACAGAGGGTACTAGACTGCAGCCCCGAAGGACCACAGCTTTTTATTTTTAAAGAGTCAATACTGGCAGTGTTCCTAGATATGCTCCCTGTTCCCACGCTTGATTTTCACATAGCTTGACAGAGTTCTGTAGCTCAGCACATACTGCTCCTTTACTGCTCCCAAGGAACACTGTATGCAGCAGTTCCCCAACTGTCTGCAGTTGAACGACATCATGAGCTCACGTGCAAGCTGCCAGGAAGAAAAGGAAGCAATTTACAAGAACAAGCTAGGACAGCCGTTTGCGAACTGTCCTAAACAGATTCACGACAGGAGACACAGTCCTCCTTTCATGGCCCCTTCAGTTACCTTTCCCATCACTAAAACCAGTGTCTCCTATCTAAAGTGATTTCCCCATTCCTCCCTCAACCCCTTCCTAGTCATGGCCAATAAATGTTGGTTTCTGTATGTCTTCTCTTGTAAACATTGTAAACTATTTGTCCTCATGATTATGTCACTCAATATCCCATCTTCCAGAATCTTATGCTTCAAGGAGTCATTTTATTTACTCATTCATTCATTCATTGATGGGCACTTTTGCTTTTCATGTTTCGTAACTGAATTGTGCTGCACTGGAGTGCATCTGTTTGTTCTTATGTCCTTTAGAGGAGTGGAATTGAGAATCATAAAGGGTTTCTATTTCTAGAATGGTAAGGAAGCACCCTACCACTTTTCATAATGGCTGTACCATGCTACAGTCCTACCAGTAGTGGATAATGGTTCCAACTTTCTCATGTTCTTGTAGGCATTTGTTATCTTCAGCTTTTTCATCAGACTTATTTTCAGCAGGAATGAGATGCAAATCGTATTTCTCTAATGGCTAATGGTCTAAACATCTTTTGTGCATTTGTTGACTACATGAATGTCACCTTTGTTGAGGTGCGTATTCATGACTTTTGCCTGTTTCAATCATTTTGTCTTTTTCTTCTTGCGGTGTTGGAGTTTGAATTAATGTAACCAATGTAAGTACCAGTACTTAAGGACATCATGCTTGGTCAAGTAAAGAAGCAGCGAAAGAGGAGGGCGCCACAAGGAGATGGATTGACAGAGTAGCTGCAACAGTTGTGAGGCTGGCCCAGGATTGGACAATATTACCTTGTTGTACGTGGGGTTGGAACTAGATGGCACCTAACAACCAACAGTATGAGGGAGGGGCTTCGAAAAGTTTGTGGGAAAATTATCTTTTCATTCGATTTTCCTGTAAACTTTTTAAAGCACTCTCCTATTTTGAGAAAGTGTTTTAAAATACAATAGTACTGTACTTTTCACTTTTTTGCATAAATTTGTTTTGTGCTACAAAA